TTATTTGTTGAATCATTTGTCTTTATGTATTTATATATTCATTTATTTATATATATATTTGTATATGTTTATTTACTTATTTATATTTATTTATATTTATTTATATTTATTTATATTTATTTATTTATTTGTTTATATATACAGCTGATGTAAGCATAAACGGCAGAGGCTAAGGAAGGGTTCTTTATATAAATATATAAAATAGATAGATATAAATACATAGTTTTGTCTGTATTTTTTTGTATATTAATATTTATTTATTTATATTTATTTATTTATATTTATTTATATATTTATTTATTTGTTTATTTGTTTGTTTATTTATACAGGTAAAGTAAGCATAAACTTGTATCTATTTTATATATTTATATGAATACATAGAATAAAATAGATACATATAAATACATGGTTTTGTGTGTATTTTCTTCTCTATTAATATTTATTTATTTATATTTATTTATATATTTATTTATTTATTTATTTATTTGTTTATTTATACAGGTAAAGTAAGCATAAACGATATATTTGATTTCGCGAATAGCCAGAGCCTGGGGAAGGGTTCTTACGGCCAAGTTGTAAAAGCAAGAGATATGAAAACAGGAGTAACGAGAGCAATTAAGGTTGTTTATAAACCCAAAATAGAGAACGTAACCCGACTAAAAAGAGAAATCCTCATCATGTAAGTTTATATTTGTTTATTTATCTTTTTTTCTGCGTTTGTAGTTTTCTTTTTGTGTATTTATTTGTGTATTTATTGATGTATTTATCTCTATATTTATGTTTTTATAATAAGAGCAATTAAAGTTATTTATAAACCAAAAAAATAGAGAACGTCACTACACTAAAAAGAGAGATTCTAATCATGTAAGTTTATATTTATTTATTTATTATTTATTTATTTATTTATTTATCTTTTTTTCTGCGTTTGTAGTTTTCTTTTTGTGTATTTATTTATGTATTTATCTCTATATTTATGTTTGTATAACAAAAACAATAAAATCTATTTATAAACCAAAAAATAAAAAGAGAAAAATATTAATCACAAAAGTTTATATTCTTTATCTATTTTTTCTTTATTTATTTTCTCTGCTTTTCTCTCTTCCTCATACATAAAAAAAAAAAAAAAAAAAAAAAAAAAAAAAAAAAAAAAAAAAAAAAAAAAAAAAAAAAAAAAAAAAAAAAATAAAAAAATAAATATGTATGTGTATGTATGTATGTGTGTGTATTATATATATAGGAAGCGTTTGGACCACCCAAACATAATAAAATTATTTGAGGTGTATGAAGACGAAGAAAATTTATATTTAGTAATGGAGTTATGTACAGGAGGAGAGTTATTTGAGCGTATTATAAAATCAGGGCATTTCACCGAAAGATATGCAGCTACTCTTATGCGTCAGGTTTTCTCTGCTGCTGCTTATTGTCATTCTAATAATGTTATACATAGAGACCTCAAACCAGAGAACCTTTTATATGCAGACAACTCTCCTCTATCCGCGTTGAAGGTTATTGGTGAGGAGTCTAAACCCTAAACCCTAAACCCTAGAAAGTAAACCCTAGTTTATAGTGTTTATAGTTCTCTGCTGCTGCTTATTGTCATTCTAATAATGTTATACATAGAGACCTCAAACCAGAGAACCTTTTATATGCAGACAACTCTCCTCTATCCGCGTTGAAGGTTATTGGTGAGTGTTTATGTAAACCCTAAACCCTAAACCCTAAACCCTAGGTTTTAGTTTTGAGTTTATAGTTCTCTGCTGCTGCTTATTGTCATTCTAATAATGTTATACATAGAGACCTCAAACCAGAGAACCTCGTTTATGCTTATAAAAACCCTAAACCCTAAACCCTAAACCCTAAACCCTAGTTGGTAGTTTATAGTTTTCGGCTGCTGCTTATTGTCATTCTAATAATGTTATACATAGAGCAAAACCCTAAACCCTAAACCCTAAACCCTAAACCCTAAACCCTAGTTGGTAGTTTATAGTTTATAGTTCTCGGCTGCTGCTTATTGTTAATATAAAAAATTAAAAAAATAAAAAAAAAGAGAAATAAGAAGAAATTAGATATATAGAGAAATAAATAATAGTAAACAAAAGTAAATAAAAATAAATAAAAATAAAAATAAATAAAAATAAATAAAAATATAAAAATAAATAAAAATAAATAAAAATAAATAAAAATAAATAAAAATAAATAAAAATAAATAAGAAGAAATAAAAGAACACAACAATATATAGATTAACAAAAGTAAATAAAAATAAATAGAAACGAATAAAAATAAATTAAAAAATAAAAAAAATAAAAAAATTAAAAATAAAGAGAAATAAAATAAATGGGAATAAGAATAAAATAAACAGAAATAAATAAAGGTAAGTAAACATAAGATAAAAATAAATAAAAATAAATAAAAATAAAAATAAATAAAAATAAAAATAAATAAAAATAAAAATAAATAAAAATAA